GGCACTATGACATCCCAGTTTTCCCAAAACAAGTTTGGACAACATAAGAAAAGGGCACTACTGGGGACCTAGCGCCCATTTATTGGAATATGTGTACGCAAGAGCCCGTTCGTCCAGGGATTTCCCCTTCAAGCCGTCTCAGTCCCATGTCTCATCGCTTCGACCGGCTTGAGGAACTGCAAAACCTGTGGAGTTGCGGTAAGATCCTTTGAAATGGGTATGCGCTAAATGACCGAAACTCATGTGGGATCCTTCCACAAGTGATTCGTTTCCTTTGGATGTCGTGCTCAAACCATCCAAAAAGGGCTCCCACATGTTGAGACAACCCATACGTAGCACACACAAACAAGCGGATGTCATGGTTTAGCTTCTCAGTACCATATTGGACCCAACAAAATGGAATTTCCGGACCGCGAGGAGCTGCTCCTCACTCAAGTGGATTGGCCCAGCTTTCTGCTTGCCACCATGGTCCCACCTAAGTTTTACCTCAATCCCAACTCAGGGAGTGATGTTAACTCAGGGAGGGATCAAACCCGTGCAGGGTTGTGGGACATGGAATCCACTTCTGTGATACAACAAGAAGCGCTGCCCGAAGACTCACCCTCCCAAAAGGCGGGGAGGTTCCCAAAAGTATCACAGAAAGTGGTTGGATAAACCCCGAGTTGTCAACCACAACCCGAACCCGTGAACCCTTGAAAGCCCGAGATTCCGCTTCGGCTTCGGCTTCCCGGCAAGTTCTCAGCGCGGGCGCCGCAGGCTGCGGCCTTGCGCCTGGAACTCCAACCGAAAGGGCGAGAGCGAGCCACGTCAACAGGTTGAACATGTTTTTGTGGGTTGGTTCTTTCAGGGAAACACCTAGAGACCACACAGCTTGGGGTGGTTTTATGGGGAAACACCTTGAGACCACACAGTTACGGGTGGTTTTACCGGGAAACACCTTGAAAACCCACACAGTCTGGGGTGGTACGGGAAACTTTAGACCAGCAACAACCAAAGACACCGAGGAGGCAAAAGCCGAATCTTCAATCGTTTGGTCAGCGGCGCCCAGCCAACAGTCGCCTCTTGCTGGCGTTGGCTACTTCTGTTCCTGCTGAGGAAACTAAAGCACTACTGTGGATGGTTGCGAAATCCGTTTCTTCGCACCACGAAAAAAAAGCAAAAAACAAACATGGGAAGCCATGGTTGGTTGCTATTTACAGGGGAATCAGACCATACCAGGGTTCCTTAGGTGGTGCGAGAAGCGGATTTCGTCCATCCACAATATGGTCCGGAGCCAATGCCTCAGTACCACTTTGCTGTTCTTGGGTTTGTCTGTTGCTTTAGTACTGGCGGGCTGCAGAGAAGGGTTGGGAAAACGGGATTGGTTCAGGGTGGGCAACCCAGATGGGTGTGAATCTCAACGAGGAACCTTCAAAGTGGTTGGCAACCGGAGTCTGACGTCCACCAAAAGGTCCCTACTCCTAGGTGACCTTTGGGAAGAATGGATGGCCCCTGCAAATGGAATTAAACCCATCTGAACCAGTGCCACCTATCTCTGACCAAACCCACCTAAGAAGGATTGAAGGCTGACCCCAGATCAAGAAACCATCCTATTGGGGGGTGCTCCCCTCCAATATTGGGACAACCCCGTATTCATCGGCTGGGCGTTGCTTCTCGGATTTTGAAGGCACCCATTTCAAAGGAAAGCCACTTCTTTACTTATTTATTTCTTTCGTTCTTTCGTTCTTTATTTATGTATTTATGTCGTTCTTTCTTTCTTTCTGTCATTATTTCTATCTTTCTTTCTGTTCTGTCTTTCTTTACTTCTTTCTTTGCTTCTTTTCTTTCTTTATTTCTTTCTTTATTTCTTTCTTTATTTCTTTCGGTGTTCTTACTTGTTTCTTTCTTTCTTTCTTTCTTTCTTTCTTTCTTTCTTTCTTTCTTTCTTTCTTTCTTTCTGTCTTCCTTCTTTCTTTCTTTCTTTCTTTCTTTCTTTCTTTCTTTCTTTCTTTCTTTCTTTCTTTCTTTCTTTCTTTCTTTCTTTCTTTCTTTCTTTCTTTCTTTCTGTCATTATTTCTGTCTTTCTTTCTGTTCTGTCTTTCTTTACTTCTTTCTTTGCTGCTTTTCTTTCTTTATTTCTTTCTTTATTTCTTTCGGTTTTCTTACTTGTTTCTGTCTTTCTTTCTTTCTTTCTTTCTTTCTTTCTTTCTTTCTTTCTTTCATTCTTTCTTTCTTTCTGTCTTCCTGCTTTCTTTCTTTCTTTCTTTCTTTCTTTCTTTCTTTCTTCCTGCCTTCCTTCCTTCCTTTCTTTCTTCCTGCCTTCCTTCCTTCTTTTCTTTCTTCCTTCCTTCCTTCCTTTCTTTCTTTCTTTCTGTCTTCCTTCTTCCTTCCTTCCTTTCTTTCTTTCTTCCTTCCTTCCTTTCTTTCTTTCTTTCTTCCTTCCTTCCTTGCTTTCTTTCTTTCTTTCTTTCTTTCTTTCTTCCTGCCTTCCTTCCTTCCTTTCTTTCTTCCTGCCTTCCTTCCTTCCTTTCTTTCTTCCTTCCTTCCTTCCTTCCTTTCTTTCTTTCTGTCTTCCTTCTTCCTTCCTTCCTTTCTTTCTTTCTTCCTTCCTTCCTTTCTTTCTTTCTTTCTTTCTTTCTTTCTTCCTTCCTTCCTTCCTTTCTTTCTTTCTTTCTGTCTTCCTTCTTCCTTCCTTCCTTTCTTTCTTTCTTCCTTCCTTCCTTTCTTTCTTTCTTTCTTTCTTCCTTCCTTCCTTGCTTTCTTTCTTTCTTTCTTTCTTTCTTCCTTCCTTTCTTTCTTCCTTTCTTTCTCTCCTGGTGGCAGGGGGGCGTTCCCCCCAAAGAAGACACACCCATTGAGCTTTCTTAGCCGCCCCCCCCCCCCAAACCCCTCGCCGCGTCCCTCCCGGAGCCCGGGAGAGAACTCTGCGGCAAAAACGAAATAAATTCATGGGGCATGAAAGACTAAATATGGGGGAGGTTTGGAAAAAATGGCAACCTACGAATATAGGACGAGTCTGGGACAAATACTTAAACTGCCAAAGATGTGGGACAAGTCCGGACAAAATCGGCCAAAGCTGCCAAAACAGTCTGTCCCACATCGAAGCTTGGTAATTGGAATGGACTACAACCCGCGGCCCATCTCCTGGTGGTTTAATTTTGACCTGTAACGCTAACCCCGGATTAATAAAAACCCCTGGTTGATTTTGATTGGGGGGTGTCCCCTTTTCGTGGGGGTTCAGACCACTTTTGGAGGGGTGTTCACCCCCATATTCATCAACTGGGGTTTCTTCATCCGGAATCCGGGGTCGACCTTCCCCACCTCTCCGCGGAATCCTTCGCACGACCCGTCCGCGGCTGGGCGCCCGGGCCAGCAGGAGTCCAGCCGACCCGTGAGCCCGTCCTTCATGGCGCAGAAGTCCTGAGGCCAAACGAAACGGAGCGAGGTCCCGAAACCCGGAGAGGAGGGCCATGGCCATGGCTCGAAAACTCTTCTTGGGCGTCCTGCCATTTTTGTTGGGGGGGGAGCTGACGATTTTTTTGGGGATTTCGGAGAAGTCCGGCCGACTCCGGGTTTCAGGACACGCCCATGATTTTTGTTTTAGGAATGCCGAACAAGACCGGCATTCCCGTTGAAAAAAATCAACTCTGCACTCGCTCGGGCACCGTTGGCCATCAGATATGCACCCAGAGGACTCCAAGGGCAGCTTCCGGAAGCTCCATTCTGAACCCAGGGATCCGAATCTTTCTAAAAAACCAATGAAACCCCTGACAAAAAAACCGCTGGTCTTCGAAAAGAACGATGGCTGAAAAGCATGGACCAGGAATCATCTCCTAGAAGGATGCCCTAAATGCGCGTGATCTTTTGCCAACACCTGCCACGCTGGAGTTGGTGCTTGACATCTGAGGAACACACATCTCGGTTGCTTCAATCCGCTCTTGACGTCGCGACAAGACGTTCGTAACCATCTCAGATGCCCAGTAGCCATGGGAAAAAAGGGCATCCTGTGTTTGTTTGGTTGAGTTCAAAGGAATCGGAACCCTTCCAAAAAAAAAAAGAAGGAGAACAAGTTGAAAGAGGGAAGCAACCCACTGGTTGCAAAGCAACCCACTGGTTGCAAAGCAACCCACTGGTTGCAACTGGGCAATACAAGAACAAGAAGCGGAAGGCCTCATATGCATCATGTGTTCAGGTGCCGAGGTGATTGAGTTCTGTGATACATGTCCAGGTGTTGAACAGGTCGCGAACGAATCTCTGCCCAAAAAAATCGGAAAGACCCCGCAGTGTGAGTCTTCACAGTTCTTCAAGAACCACCAGCCAGCAAGGGGAACAACAAACAAATCCAGTCCGCTCTCAAAGGAAAACTTTTTGCAGCCAACTCTTCAGGAAGAGAGATTCAGCTGGAACCCTTCTTCGACTCACTTGACCTCTTCAGCGGGTTTTACACGTGGAAGATGCGCTTGTGTTTCCAATAGGGTTCCGTTTTGGGTACCTATGTTTGACACCCAAAATCGTCTCTGCCCTGCTGAGTTTGGCCAGTTCAAGCTTTTTGGTCACTGATGAAACCTGAAACAAGAGCTTTTGAGGTGTGAGATTTTGCGATAAAAACCGCTTCAAAAACGGGCTTTCGTTTATTTAAAAAAAAAAAAAAAAAAAAAAAAAAACGGGGGTCCCTTTTGGTGGCTTGAAAAGAACCTAACAAGGGAACCCCCAGCTTCGGATCTTCATTTTCCGGGGTCCCTTTTGGTGGCTTGAAAAGGAACCTAACAAGGGAACCGCCCCAAAGATGTTTGGGAACTCATTGGCACTGCACATGAGCGGCAACTAAGGATCGCAAGAATCCCTGCTCCCAACTGAGAATCATGTGCCCGCTTCCTCCCCCCACTCCACTTTTGCTGCGTCGGACTCCTGTTGTAGGCACATCTTGCATACACCATTTCCTGTACAATCTGTACAATCATTGCTAGTTTCAACAGTCCACAGGGGCTACACATTGTCACGCTCAAAAAGTGCCTCAGTCTTCAGCCCTGCTCAGCCTGTGCCTCACAAGTGTCCACCGTCTTCACGGTTTCTGGTTCGCCGCGGGTCTCCTTCGGCGCGGAACTCTCTTCCCCTGCCGCATCTTCGTCGTCGCCGCCCCGCTCGCAGAATGCCCGGAAGTCGGACGGGCTCATGAACTTGGCCCCATGCTCATCTTCCGGTTTGCCGCTGCTCCAGGTCTTCACAGACAAAACCGGACCAGCCGGAGGCGCTTCTTGGCACTCGACCACATAGACAAACTCCATGTCAAGCGCACGCTCGGTGGGGAACAAATAGAGGTGCCCGGGCCCGCCCTTAAACTCGGCGATGAACTGAGCCACTAAGCAGCCGAAGCCGTTGCAGACCCTCCCGGCTGGATTGCTAGGACCCAAGCCGTTCACCAGCACACAGGATTCCAGAAACTCGCCAAGTCGTACTCCAAGAGACGTCCAGTACCCGTCGCAGTGAAAATAGATGCAAGCATAGACTCCAGCATGGACACTCTTCTGGTCACCACGCACGGAGCGGAAGACCACGAGTCCTCCAGTGCCCATCGCTCACACCTCAAAGACTTGAGCCCAAAGCTGCGACTCGCCCACGGAACCAAGTGATGCCCATGGACAAAGCCAACAAAGCACGAGGATTTGTCAACTCAATCCAAGTTGCTGGGATTGACAGCAGAGGTTTCTGGAAGCAAGTGAAAAATGGATCCGCAAAGGGGTGCACCTCCCTAGCCTCAAACCTTCCCTTAATCTTTACATTGGTTGTCTAAACCCCCTACTGAATCGAATCTATACAAGGAGTTGTTTCACTATGGCACATACATGGCTATGGGTACCCCCAGTGAACATCCCAATCCCCACTAAAATAGACCCCAAAATGGGTGGTGCACCGAAAACCCCAAAATGGGATCCCATTGGTTGTGAACCGTGGCCACATGGGCGTGTCTTAAAATATGCGACCAAGAAAGCTGCTCTTAGACATCCCTCTGGCTTCCCAAAGTAGATTCGCACGGTAAATGTTGACCCTATTTCAACCCCGGTCTATTAACTTGGGTGCCGTAGATCCCCCAGCAAAAAAGTTTAACTTGTTGCTGGTTAAACAAAAATATGTAGGGAACCCAAAAAGTTAAAGTCTAAAGATTCAACCCAATAGCGGTAGAGTTAAAAGGGGGCGGTTCCTTCCGAAAGGTGATGATTCCCCACTAACCCCCAGCGATATGCCCGTTTTTTCCTGAACCGGGGTTGAGTAAAACATTTGGGTGTCAACATGCCCTCAAAACCAAAACCGACCCATCTCTAGCACCACCTGCACGCCACGCCACACGCCAGCTGTGTCCTCGTCCAACCTCCGCTGCTCTTCTTCCAAGGTCTTCTGCGCCTCCTGGGTCCACACCGCCTGCGGACGCTTTCGGCGAGGCGATCCGAGCGGGTTCGGTGCGTACGAGCGGCTGGCCCATGGACCTCTGGCGAACCAGCCCCGAGGCCAAGACATCGGCTTTCTCGGAGGAAAACGGAAAAACATGGTAAACCGGGCGTAGAGTAGAAGCAACTGAGCCTCTCTTTTTTCGCCAATGAGGGGGAAGAGGGCCTGGCGAAGAAGCATGTAGAGGAAACAACTACTTCAGAAATTCTCACCTTTGGCTCGCTGTGCGGTTGTCTCCAGTCCTCAGATCTGCAAAAAAGGAGAAAGCAAGCTTCAACTTGGCAGCCAATGTGGTGGGTTTCTCAAGAATGGTGACCCCCCTTTTCCTTGGTAGCTCACAGGAAACCGAAAGGACGCCCACCCAGGTTTGGGGGATCGCAATCTAATGTGAAACCCCCACATAACAGGCAAGGGATTTTCAGAGAAGAGTTTGGGGCCGTCGGTCAGTTCTGCTTTGACGGTCTTGGAGATAGGTGAAGCTGAATGATGGGCCCTGTAAACATCCTTTGGAGAAGAGTTTAAGTCCCCTTTAAGATGTTTACTGCCATTCCGATGAGATCTGTCACAAAATACCAGCAAATCTATGTGGGTGTGTCTTTTGCTGGGGGTACTCTGTCATGGTTGTTGAACCTTCCAAAAAAAATGGGCAAACCATTTTTGGGGGGGAGTCAGCGAGTCTCGTTTTGAGACACACCGTCCATGGAAGACACCCAGCGCCAATGAACTGGATCTCAGGTGAACCTTCCGGTCGCTGGGTCGCGCGTTCGCTGCGCGACCTGTAGACACACACACAAATTAGGCTTGACAGGACACCCATGGTGTCCGAACCCAGAGAGCGAGAGAGAGAGAGAGAAAGAAAAGAGAGAAAGAGAAGAAAGAGAGAAAAGAGAGAGAGAGAGAGAAGAAAGAGGGAAAAGAGAGAGAGAGAGAGAGATAAAAGAGAGAGAGAGAGAGAAGAGAAAGAAGAGAGAGAGAGAGAGCAAAAAAAAAAAGAGAGAGAGAGAGAGAAAGAAGAGAGAGAGAGAGAAAAAAAAAAAAAGAGAGAGAGAGAAAGAGAGAGAGAGAGAGACAGAGAGAGAGAGAGAGAGAGACAGAGAGAGAGAGAGAGAGAGAGAGAGAGACAGAGAGAGACAGAGAGAGACAGAGAGAGACAGGGAGAGACAGAGAGAGACAGGACAGAGAGAGAGAGAGAGACAGAGAGAGACAGAGAGAGACAGAGAGAGACAGAGAGAGACAGAGAGAGACAGAGAGAGACAGAGAGAGACAGAGAGAGAGAGAGAGAGAGACACACACACACAGAAAAAACACACACACACACACACCCGCGCGCGCGCACACAATTCGCACACACACACACACACAGAAGAGGCGTCCTGTGGGTATTTGTTGCCAGATGTGGTGGTCGAAGACTCTTCCTTGACTTCCCTTGACTGCCTTCGCAGGGCTCCAACTCCCATCAGAAGGGTCAAAAGTTGGGTCCCACCGAGGAACACCCTCTTTGGGTCCAACCCGGTGCCAAATGGTCCATTTGGTTAAGACCCTGGGAAAATTATGTTGAAACCAACAAGGGAAATTGAAAAAATGTTCTTCAGCAAATAGAAGTTATGCTCCAAACCAGGACCCACGGCCAACAGTTCCACGTGAAAAGGGAGGCGAAGATTTCCATGGCCGAACTTGAAAACAGGGCTCCGAGTCCTCGCCGGGTGGCGTTTTTTCCAAAGGGGAGGTTTTCCACAAAGTGAAGAGGACATTGATTTTCCATCCTTCCAGAAACGCTCTGGTGGGAGGAAGGGTATCAGCTCTTTAGATCTAGCTGGCCCCCGTGTGACCAGCTGACCAATTGGTCGGCCCTTTATGGACTGTGTTCTGAGAAATGGAAGCGACGGAAAAAAGACCAAGGGGAAACCACAACTTCCTCCAGTAGAGAGGTTAGAATAAGGGTACCCTTTTTTCTGTAGCCTATTTTAGTAGGGGAACCCACCCAAAAAAAAGGAAAAGGGCACCTAGCTGGGGGACCTAGACAACAACAATCCAACGAAGTTTCATAGTCCCTCCTCCTCCTCCTCTCTGGGCCAGACTTAGACACTAAGACTCCCAACCAGTTGTCTTGTTGCTAGTTCAAAGTTGGAAATCCAGCAAACCCAAAAAACGGGGGGGGGGGGGGGGAAAAAAAAAACACGAGGTAAGTCATGCGTCGTGCAAAGCACGAGGTAGGGCGGCTTGTTGGCTTCCGACAAACTCCTGATCCCAACTTCCTGAGGACCCCCAACTAACCCCACTGGCAGACGGTCCTAGTCAGGGGCTCAACTCCCCCAAAGGGAAAGCTCATGGGTTTACCTCAAGGATCAACCCACAGCTGTTTAAACTTACCTTCAGATACTCAACAAATGGGTCGGAGCTTGGTTTTGGAGTTGTGAAAAGAGTTTTGGGGTCCACAGGCTAGACTCGTTTGGGGCATTGGGGCAGCTGAAAGGAGGAGGGGAAAGGAGGGGTTCCGGGTCTTCCGGGTCTTACGGGCCTGGGCGGGAGCTCTGAAGGCCGGGCACTGTATTTCTTCAGCTTGGTTTGGGAAAACCGACAGGAAACTCGCGCCTTCTCGCGGCTAAACATCTCCTCCTGCCGTGACAGCTTCTCCTTGGCGCGGGGACGGCAAGTGGGTGCTTTGGGCAAAACGAAGTTGATGTTGGGACAACAACAAAAAGTGCTGCCAAAAAAATAGGACCCAACAAGTTCCAGACGATTTCGTGGTTGCACATGTTTGGGACAAGAAATTGCACGGCCAAAAATAGCATCAATCGAGTCTAAGCGTGTTCTGGATATGTCCGAAAGGCTAGTACAAACAGCAAAACATTAAATGACATGTTTCGGGGAAAGGGGCCCCAGGTCTTTCTTCTTCTTTTCCCCAATCAGTTTTGCCCCTCCCCCGGCCCCGAACGGAGGGGTTCTGATTGAAGGGACTTTAGAGCCATGGGTAGGGAGGACAGCGAGCTAGATGAACTAGGCTGATTTTTTATCAGGGACCCTCTGGTGGACATCATTTAGGTGTGTGTTTCTTTTTTTTTTATGTCCACCCACTTTCCAGGGGGGGGGGTATTTTTTCTTCCTGGGCAGATGTTTTCGGCAGCATGGCCCGGATAGCTTGGCATGTGATTGGAGTGTTCGCACCTGAGAGAACCCAAAGGACTGACCACTTTGTGGATCCAAATCGGGTTCCGGAGTTGCTGACTTAACCCCGAAGAGCGTACCATCAAACACGCACCCACTTGGAGAGGTTCCTGTTGACAAGCAGAACTACCACGGTCTGCCCTTCCTGGACACCCCCATAAACCCTGCGGACTCTCACCGCCCCGAGACTCTGTAGCCTTGATTTGGAAGCCGACAGAAAACTGAACCAAAAGGGCGCAGCGTCAATTTGTTGCAAAATTGTGGAAACCTGACTTTGGCTTCCCAGGTAAGCCGCAATCATGGGTAGATCCTCGGGCATGGCAACAGGGCACATCTTCTTCTCATGACGTCTGACGAACCATTGTTGTTCACTCACGTCTCTCAAAAGCCAAGAAGAAGGAGACGCCAGTGGCGAAGCAAACCCATAGCCCCGAAGCGCCTGACATTTGTGGTTGGGAGGATCTCTCAAGCCGACCGCTTCTGAACCTGAGCCCCTGCGAACCAAACCTTTCCGCCAGCCGGAGCCAGGCTCGCTCCGGCGGCTCCAACTTCTGAGCTTGGTGGAAATAGGCGGCTTCCGCCGCCCGTGGGCTTGGAACCCCAACCCTCCAAGCGAATTGCTCTCTTTTCAGCGACAGCAGACCAAGGCCTTGAGGCCATGCAATGACCAAAGGCCTTACAGGAAGGGGGTTCCTTGGAGTCATTTCCTTCGCAGATGACCAGCGGCTTGGGCAACAATCAGCGGCTCCCCGGTTGTTTCTGCGAAATTTCGTGGAGCACCGACCGAATGCACCGACCCGAAGCTTAATTGATACAGGGAACGCACAAAATTGGCCTTGATGTCTGTCTGGTTTCTGCTTGATGCATGGTTTGCCCCTGGCGTCCGAGCGATTTTCTTTGAGGGAAACCCATCCTAACAACAAGGGACATGGACTTTCGGCAAAGGACAGTTCTCCTTTCCCCGCTAGATCCAGAGTTCTTGTTTGCTTCGGGAGCTACACCTTCCCGACGAACCTTCCTGGTCAGCCTGGTGAAACAAATCCGGCTGAAACCGCCGAACCCCAACACGGAAATCACCCCACCGCCAAAACAAAACAAAACACCTTCCCCCACCCCACCCACCCCACTCCCCCCCTCCCCCCTCCCCTCCAACAATCCGCTTGGAAATCGCTTGGCTCCCGCGCCATGTCCGCCAGGCGCTGCTGCGTGAGGCTGCTCAGCTCCTCGGAGCGATTGGCGCGGCGAGGGTTTTGCCGAACGCCGCCGAACGAGGAGAGCTGAAAACAGGCGCCACGTGTTTTATTTTTCGGGGGTCCGGCAGAACAAGGGAAGCCCTGGAATATCTCATGCGGTTGGATATGTTTCGTTCTGTGGCTGTTTTGTGGAGGAAGGATGCGCCGTTCCGTTCAATTCGGTCGAAAGAGGAGCTGAGTTGGTGTGTTGGTTGACTTGGTAGGGATCTTGTCAGTTTAGTCTGGCTGGTGGGTTTGGTCAACAGCTGTTGGGTCTGTCTTCAAAAAGAAAAGTGGCCAAGAAGACTATGGTTCAAACACTTTTTGCGGGAGAAATGTAGGCTTAGAGACCACACAATGGTTACCTTCACTCCTGTTTTTGGGATAAAGGGAAACCAGGAAACGAAAAGAACAGCCTGGAGGTTAATTTCCAAAAAAACATGTGTGAGGAGTGGGGGTGTTTCTCAAAACACTGCTTTTTGGGGCTTTGAATGGGCTGCTTTTTGGGGCTTTGAATGGGCTGCTTGGCTGGGCGGGCTGGCTGGCTGGCTGGCTGGCTGGCTGGCTGGCTGGCTGGCTGGCTGGCTGGCTGGGCTGGCTGGGCTGGGCTGGGCTGGGCTGGGCTGGGCTGGGCTGGGCTGGTTGGTTGGTTGGTTGTTTGGTTGGTTTGGTTGGTTTGGTTGGTTTGGTTGGTTTGGTTGGTTTGGTTGGTTTGGTTGGTTTGGTTGGTTTGGTTGGTTTGGTTGGTTTGGTTGGTTTGGTTGGTTTGGTTGGTTTGGTTGGTTTGGTTGGTTTGGTTGGTTTGGTGAAATTTTGTTGGTTGACTTATTGGTCGGTTGAACAAAGGCTCCTTGTGAATGACCCTTGTGCTGGCGGCAGTCTCAAAACGGGAAAGCATTGTTCTTTTTGGCCTCATTCATCTCAGCAACATGGTTGCCTCGTTTTGTTCTCGAGGGCGCCCAAGGCATACTCAGATGCCCAGAGGCCAGGGGACAAAAAGGGCATCTTTCTTTTGCATGGTTGAGATTGAAGGGAACCCTTCCCAAAAAACAAAAAGAGGAACAAAGGAAGCAACCCACTGGTTGCAACAGCGTGAATCTATTTGGGGGGAGGAACGGTCCGATTCCCAAAAGAGAAAACAAGCCACCCACCTGGGCGACGTCTTCCCATCACAGTCCTCGGTCTGCTTCTGCACCTCTTCCACCAAGCGCCGATTCGTGGCCTCAAGGCCAGGCGTCAGGCGGCGCCGGCCCTTTGGTTGGCTTTTGCTGCCAGTAGGGAGCCCCGAACTGATGGATATAAATGGGTCTGTTCTTAGGGGAACCCCCCCCAAAAAAAAAAACCACAACAATGGTGGTTCTCCTTTTCAGGCAAGGGGCATGGTAAAAAAATCACGCCCAAACGTCCACCTTGGTGTCCAAAACGTCCCTGGAAAAATCACGGCCAGAGGCCCGCAGCAACCCTAAATTGGACATGGAAACCTCTACGCGCAGGTGCAGCAGCGCCAGGGCACTGGGGAAGCTCGGTTTGGGTGGCAGGTTTGTGGGCGGGTTCGGGCTCGGGTTTCGGCTCGGGTTTGGGTTTGGGGGGTTGGGTTCGGGTTTGGCTTGGGTACCTCCAGCCCACCCCTAAAAAAATAAACCAACCTGAAGCCAACCCTGAGCCAACCCTAAACAAATTCGCAGGCAACCCTAAACTCCCTAAGCCAACCTTGAACCATCCCTAAACCAACCCAAAAACATGCACATTTCATGCACTACATACATTACATACGTAGTATGTAAGTATGATGGATGTATGTATGCATGTGTGTGTAATGTATGTACGGTGTAATGGAACTTAGCGTAATCAATTGTAGCGTAGCGCCATGTAATGTAATGCATGTAGTGTGTGCGCGGTGTAACGTAGTGTGTGTGTGTGTGACGCATGTGTGTAATGTAATGTCATGTGACGCAACATGTTGTAATGTAATGTCATGTGGTGCGGTGTGTTGCGTGTACGTCTGTACTGTGTGTGTAAGTATGTATGCCTGTATGTATGTGCGCACGCACGTGCGTATGTAATGTAAAGTAGCATAGCGTAGTGTACTGTAGTGTAGTGCAATGTATGTATGCATGTACTGTGCGCGGCGCATGTAATGTATGTATGTTTGTATGTATGTGTGTGTGTGTCTGTCTGTCTGTCTGTCTGTCTGTCTGTCTGTCTGTCTGTCTGTCTGTCTGTCTGTCTGTCTGTCTGTCTGTCTGTCTGTCTGTCTGTCTGTCTGTCTGTCTGTCTGTCTGTCTGTCTGTCTGTCTGTCTGTCTGTCTGTCTGTCTGTCTGTCTGTCTGTCTGTCTGTCTGTCTGTCTGTCTGTCTGTCTGTCTGTCTGTCTGTCTGTCTGTCTGTCTGTCTGTCTGTCTGTCTGTCTGTCTGTCTGTCTGTCTGTCTGTCTGTCTGTCTGTCTGTCTGTCTGTCTGTCTGTCTGTCTGTCTGTCTGTCTGTCTGTCTGTCTGTCTGTCTGTCTGTCTGTCTGTCTGTCTGTCTGTCTGTCTGTCGGTCTGTGTGTCTGTCTGTATGTATGTATGTATGTTATGCATGTACGTATGTACGTCTGTCTGTATGTGTGTATGTCTGTACGTGTGTGGGTATGTATGCCTGCATGCATGTGCGTGTGTGTCTCTGTACGTGTGTGCGAGTTAGTAAGTAAGTAAGTAAGCAAGCAAGCAAGCAAGCAAGCAAGCAAGCAAGCAAGCAAGCAAGCAAGTAATTCGTAAGTAACGTAGTGCAATAATGTAGTGTAATGTAATGTGTGTAATGCAGCGTAATGTAGTGTAATGTACTGTAATGTATCTTAATGCCATGTAATGCAATGTTTGTATGTATATGTAAATATGTATGAATGTTTGCCGTGAAATGGAACGAGGCGATTACACGCATGCATACACATGTACGCGTACATACGTACATACATACATACATACATACACGCATGCATACATACATACATACATACATACATACATACACACATACATACACACCTATATACACACATACCGCGCATACACACATACGCACATGCATTCATACATACACAACAATGCGTCGCATCACACCACATGACATGCCATTACAACACATCACGTCACATGACATTGCGGTACGGCACATGACGCTGCACTGCATTACATTACTTTACATTTCACGCCATCACGCCTTCATACTTACATAGACGTACATACATTACATTGCGTTGCGTTGCATTACATTACATTACACTGCATTACATTACATTGCACCGCTTGCAAAATTATGCACTCACTCGAGCATGTCTTATGTAAGGGGGAGCCTGGCAGGTATATTTCCGAGGGGCTCCGCTTGTATCGCAAACAATCCTGCTTCTTCCGCATCTCCAGGGAAATAAATGTTTGAGCGGTTTGAAGCCTCCTTTCCAAGAATCTAGGGCTCCCAACAAACCTTGCAAGGTTGGGCTTTGCCAAGGACCCGAATTTATGATTCAAGCTGCGTCTTAGACTGGGGCGATCAATTTCTGGGTGGATTGATTCACGCGCCCGCGTCGTCGCTTTCACCTTGTCCTGCAGATCCTGCTCCGCCCTCTTCGCGGCCCTTTATTTTTGCCATCCCTGAGGATTCAATTGCGCAAAGGCAGGCTCTGCCTTTGCTACTCCCCTCTGCTCCTCGTGGCTGAGCATTTTTGTCTGCTCACGTTTTCAGTTCGTTCATACAATTCTTCTGAACAGGAGTGAGATTAATTGATCAAATGAGCGAGCGAAACCCACGGCCTTATTTGGAGAAATGATTGACGGCTAAAAGCTGGACGGCTTTGAAAAGCGCCATCTGAAAAAAAGGCCATGACCGTGTTGGTTTTTTGGCTTTTTGTTATGGGACTGAGGGCAACGCGGGGCAAAGTTCGCTCTGGACTCGTTGTGACTAGTTTTACGGATGGCAACGCATATATTTTTTTGGGGGGGCATCTCGTTTTGCAGTAAACACTGCTTCAAGACCAACTTGTGAACAATACACCGCTCGCAACCAAGCATTGAACGCAAACCAAATGGCACCAAAAAGTGTGACATACATCTTGGGAAACAGGGCGACGAAGCTTGAGCTGCGCGCACACACACACACACTACACTGCTGAGTTGTTTGCCAACGACAGCAAAGTTGCCAGGTGACGGGGTTTGAGCTCTGACCAATCCACATTTTTTGGATTGGCACCACAAAGGGAAACGCGCCCGTCCACGCCAACGATATCTTCAGAGTGGTCCTTGAGGCGAGCTTGAATTTCCTCCACTCGTGTGGCCAGCAATTGACGCGCGGCATGTGACAGGCAGGCGGAGAAAATCTTAACGAGGCACTCCGCCCATGCGGCACAACCACTCAGTGGCTTGCAAAGTCTTCTCAAGGAAGTGGCGGAAGGCCAAGTGAAGACTGCATGTACGTCACGAAGCCTACACGCAGCGGCGCAGCATCCGCCTCCCTCTCTTGGCGAGCCCTTACCTTCTTGAAGTCCTGGTGACAGCTCGTCTCCTGCCATTGCAAACTTGCTGCGATTTTCGGATGCCTTGGGAGTGCCCGGGAATTAAGTAGGTTTAGCAGGAACTTTCGTGATACAGAGACAAAATGAAAAGCTGTTGAATAGAGATATATAGCTGTGCATGAGTAGAGAGACAAGTACAATGAACGACAATGACTTTGGGACTGGCCCGAGGAAAAAGATTTGCAGGGTGGAACGTGCTTTGGAGGCGGCGGCAGGCCATTCGCGCCTGCAAATTCACACAGACTCTGTTGGATCCAGGTGGCCGCCAATACTTTGAGTTTAAGGGAACCCCACAAACACACACCTGCGTGCATGCCACCCCCGCCACTATTCGATGCACTTTCTCGACGACTGTCTGGGACATGAAATGAAGCCTTGACCTTCCAGAGGCCTGAAAAGCGAGGACAAGGAAGGCAAGCGCGGGCGAGTGGCAATCAATGTTGCCCACGCTGTTCCCTTCAGTGCGCAGTCTGGACTCAGCACCATTGCAAATTGTTGGCCCATAGCAGCCTTGCGCTTCGTCCGCTTTGAAGTGCTCAAGGGTGTGGCCTTGGCAACTTTCCAGATCAATGTGTCCACCAGTTCCTGCCTGCTCTGTGCTGCGCTTTGCTAACTTGTCGCTAATCTGCTACACTCGTCCAGAAATCCCGTTCGGAAGCTGCGCTTCGGGGAAAGCCTAGGGAACGTCCGCAACAAGAACAAGAACAAGAACAAGAACAAGAACAAGAACAAGAACAAGAACAAGAACAGGAACAGGAACAGGAACAGGAACATGAACAGGAACAGGAACAGGAACAGGAACAGGAACAGGAACAGGAACAGGAACAGGAACAGGAACAGGAGCAGGAACAGGAACAGGAACAGGAACAGGAACAGGAAGAAGAACAGGAAGAAGAACAGGAAGAAGAACAGGAAGAAGAACAGGAAGAAGAACAAGAAGAAGAACAAGAAGAAGAACAAGAAGAAGAACAAGAAGAAGAACAAGAAGAAGAACAAGAAGAAGAATAAGAAGAAGAACAAGAAGAAGAACAAGAAGAAGAACAAGAAGAAGAACAAGAAGAAGAAGAAGAAGAAGAAGAAGAAGAAGAAGAACAACAACAACAACAACAACAACAACAACAACAACAGCAGCATCAGCAGCAGCAGCAGCAGCAGCAGCAACAGCAGCAGCAGCAGCAAATATTGTGCGCTTGTTTCTTTATAAATTTACATGAACATGCAAAAACAAAGACGCATGCTCCAGTTTCAAGCCAATAAACTTTCTTCTTCGCACCCGGCAAACCAAGTGACCAACACACCCAAGCACCCAGCCAACCTTGTTGGCCTAGTTGCTCTTCCCTTTCAGTGACAAGCTGGTTTTGCGAGACTTTCGGCTGCACGGGCTGCACAGCAAGACTGGGCCAGCCTGAGGAATCTTTCTTTGTGGATATGTACTAGCAGTTAAGATGTGAAGACAAGCAACTTGGGCCGAAAAGTCTCAATGTGCGGAAGCATGCATCGACAGACTCAAAAAAGGGACCCCGCCTACCTGGTACTTGTCTTGATCTTCCAGTTGCCTGCCAAAACAGGGTCCGGGCCCCCATTCTGCCTTGAGTTTTGTCTGGGCTCCAACCTTCTTTTTCAGGTTCCTGGAAGATCAAGGAGGCTTCTCTTACCCTCTTCCAGTTGACCTCGCTTTTGCCTGGCTGCAGCTTCTTCAAGGGCCCTGTAGCTGAGCAATATTCTACCCCTTCCCTTGTGGGGGTTCGAGTTGGACGTGGGGGCTTGGAACGGTTGAAGGTTCGGGTTGGGGTTTGGGTTCTGGTTGGGTTCGGGTTGGGGTTCGGGCTCGGGATTTCGGATTTGGGTTCGGGTTGGGTTCGGGTAGGCGTTCGGATTCGAATTCGGGCTGGGTTCGGGTGTTCGGGTTAGGGTAGGGGTTGGGGAAGGGGTTCCGGGCCGGGTTCGGTTTCGGGCTGGGTGTATGGGTTCGGGTTCGGATTGGGGTTGGGGTTCGGGTTGGGGTTGGGGTTCGGGTTCGGGTTGGGTTCGGATAGGGGTTCGGATAGGGGTTCGGATAGGGGTTCGGGTTCGGGTGGGGTGCGTAATGCGAGGAAGATGAACGTGAACTTGTTTGTTACCTTGCGGGGGGAGCAGTGGCCACTCCAAGAAAGGAGACAACCCTTTCTAAGACGCAGCTTCAAAAGCACGACCGAGGCGAGCGACAAATGTCACTGCAAAATCCAGTCAGGCAGTGAGTCTGCGGTGTCAGAGGCTTGGTCCCCCTAACACGTACCACACCTCCCCGTTTCCGCGCCAGACCAAGTGGTTGGAGCTGACTTTCCCACGAACGCCGGTAGAAGATGTCGGTTAGGCGGAGGTGTCGGCGGCTTTCCCCCAGTCCCAAACCTTCGGCCTTGGGCCTCCCTCCGCTGTAAAAAACGCCGACCCGGCGGTGGGGCAAAAATCGGAAACCAAAACCTGCGGTCCCATGGGCGGCTTCATTTTGATTCACACCCACCCTTTGCCATTTCAAACCAAGCAAACTCGCTGCTCAGGGAGTGAGGAATGGACTGACCCTTGTAAACTCCATCCAACTGCTGGCTCCCGGTCTTCAGGCCTCCCCCAAACCCGGTCCATTCATTAACATTCATTCAACCACATTTCCCAATGACTTCTCGCACCGATCGCACGCAAAACCCAAGTTCCCCCGCACCGCCCAGCTCGGGCCCAGCCCGGCCCTTCGTTCAAACCCCGTCGCCTTCAGCGAGCGCAGGGTGTTGTGCAGATCCTCGTTGGCCTCCGCCTCGGCTCGGCGTTTTAGGGTAAGCCGAGCAGCGCAGAGGCTGGGGGCTGGCACCTGCTCCAAAACGGACATCTACCGGACACATGCCCCCTTTTTTGGAGGGAGGGGGGGGGGTTGTTCTACAGGAAACATGCCTCGGTGTTTTGGGGTTGTTTATAGGAAAGCCTAGACTTAGCTCCCATCCACTGAGCCCTGGCTTCGGTGGTGGCAGACCATGTTATGGTGGGTTCCATGCCCAACAGAATGTTTGGCCTGGCTTTGTCTTAACCAGGCGTGATGCGAAAGAATACCCGGTCCCGTGTTGGATCCCGAACCTAGGATGCCCGTTTCATGTGACCAGCGTGTTGGTATAGGAACAAAGATGTTTAAGATTGTGCCTGAAGAAGGGAGCTTCTTCGGACCCTATCCTGCAGACCCCATCCTGCAGACTCTACTTTAGACAAACAGGGCATGGAAGGATGTAAGCGCCGCATCGCAGCGAGGCGACCCTCGCTTCAAAGCGCTCCTCTTATCCAACAGGTGGAAACCGCCCGTCTTTTTCCCACCTCAAGGATTCTCGATAGGAAAACCCTAACCCTTTCTCCCGCAAACATAGCGCCCGTGGAAGGGCGTCTGACAGATTTTTGGGTGTTCTCCCCAAAACCGGGTGCTATGGCAAAGATCGTGGGAACCAGGGTCTTCTTCCCCACGGCTGAGGGGATCAATACGGGGGAACCAGGGCGTCCCATGCAAAAAAGACGCCAAAGCTGGGCCATCTCCGTCCAAAACCCACTGGAGCGCCCTGCCACACGCAGCATCTCGCTGTTCAAGTCCTCATCTCACTTGCTTCGAAATGTCCACCTGGAAGCTTTTTTTGGACCAAGTGAAGCAAAAGGTCGGCAAAAAGGAAGACGTATCTATCTCGTTTGGGTGTGAATCTGAACTAGGGATTTCTTTGGTAGGCATCATTTTGGGGGTTGATGTCCACCAACCGCTGTCGAGGGGTTCCCGATGAACATTCGTAGCCAGTTGCATAGATTGGACAGTCTGAACATTGAGGTTGCCACTCAACTGGGCTGTGCGCGGCAAGTATCTTTCTGATTGATGGCTGGTTGGTTCCACTCAAACGCTCCAGGTCCAAAAAGTGACCTGAAGGTCCAGGAACTCAGGGACTGAGGCAAGGGTCCCTACGACATATGGGCGAAGCCGCCCAGGGCGTCAGGATTTGTGAAGTTCCTTCAAGGCGGCCCTCGAGCTTCACATTCCAAATTCGACAAGTACGGGTCCACAACCCCTTTTCGGGGGAGTTGATGACCCTGATAACTATAGATGACCCTTCTTTACAACCCTTGGTATGGTAACAAAAGCCATATTTATTGCACCCCCTCCTGCACATGAACAAAACCCAAAAAACAACCTGCCAACAACAGTGATTCTTGTAGATGACCCCGAACTCACTTCCCCAAAAGGACCTGGAACTAAAAGGTGAGATTAATTTTCGGGACCTTACCAAATCAGGGCAGCCAAAAGGTTAAAAAATAGGTCGATTCGCTTTGGTTGCAGGTAAGCGAAGTTTAAAAAACAAAAACAAAAAGTGGAAAAAAAAAGTTGTTTTCAAACAAAAAAAACAGGAGAAGGGGGAAGAAAAAAAAACGCGGTGAAGCCTCGGGTTCATGACCCTTTTCAGGCATTCAGATCCCCCGAACCCTCACCACGTCGTTCGAGTCCACCCCAAAAGCCCGGTCCTGGCACCGGCGCTGCGTCTCGCTGAGGCTGCTGCGCAGCACCTCTTTGAGAGAAAAAACAACGGCGCGGACGGGATGAGAAATTTACGTGGCTGGGGCAACCGAAAAACAAAAGGAAAATTCCAAAATGGCGTAAGGCCTGGAAAGTGGAAAGGCCCAAAACCTGCGGTTTGCCCAAAACCTGTTCAGTTTTGAGCCACCAGATGGACAGGTCTGCGTCCTCACACAGAGACACAGAGAACACAGAGAACACAGAGAACACAGAGAACACAGAGAACACAGAGAACACAGAGAACACAGAGAACACAGAGAACACAGAGAACACAGAGAACACAGACACAAACACAAACCTATTGCGCCTTTTGGTGGATTTCACTTTTTCTGTTCCCCCTGGCCCTTTTTCCAGTTTTCGGCCTTTTTTGTCTCCGTACTCTTTGCATGTTCAGGTTGGTGGAAGGGAAACCGCGAGATGCTTGGCAGAATCTGTCGCTTCTCACTTTGAGTCCGCAGAAGCTACCTGGGCACATGGCCCGCGGTTCCTTTGGTCCTTGTTTCGATTTACCAGGGCAAGCCATCTTGGCTAGGTCCTCCAGTTTTGATAGGATAGAAGAACCAGTTTGGTCTATTTTAGTAGGGGAACCCCTCCCAAAAAAAGGGTAAAAGGGGCACTACTGGGGGACCTAGTTGGGGTTATGTTCGACCCAAACCCATGTGTGTGCCCCCTCCTTCTCCGCTCTTATTTGACGCGCCCATCTCTCTAGAAAACGGCTTGGATGCGCCTTTTGTGGATTTCACCTGTTCTTCCCTCTGATCCTTTTGTAGTAAGCTGTTAGTAGTCTTTCAATATTCTACAGGTTGGTGGATCCACAGATTCCATACATCCAAACCGCTTTCTAGCAAATGGGTTTAGTCCTTCTCTCCACTTACCAGGGCAACCCATTTTGGGGTTGCCCTACTTTGACCCACTGCCATAATCAGCTTCTCTCTGATTCGTGGTTTGGTGGTTTCATTGGCTTCGTTTCCGCTTCCTTCCAATGGCATGGATTGGCGATTGGAAGCAGTTTGCCGGAGTGGTTTCCCGTTTGGCCCTTGTTCAAAACCAATGGTACCATTTTAGGGTAGGTGCACCACCAATTTTAATCTATTTTAGTGGGGATTGGGATGTTCACTGGGGGTACGGGGTCTTGACCCATGCCCATTTACCACAAGAACAAACCCAGGCGTGAAAACCAAATCCAAACCGTCAACGCAAAACTTGCCTACATGATGAAATGTGGCGTGTACTCAACCCCTCTCGAGTTTCCCTGGAATCGAAGACTCTCCTGCAGTCGTTTTTCCCGCCAAGCATGGAAGCTAGGGCTTTGGAAGACGCTAGAGGTCATTTCAAGGATTTCTGAGCGCACTACATCCGCTATGGGTAACTTCAGGGCCGCTTCGGGCTTCAAACCCCCCTCATCCCAATCAAGCCTCTGGAGGTCAAGCCGGAAAATGAGGTTTCGGAGATTCCCTTTTCTTGCTGCGATAAGTAGGGAATGACACAGTTCATAAGACCACCCAGTTTAGTCTATTTGAGTGGGGATTGGGATGTTCACTGGGGGTACGGGATTTTGACCCATGGCCATAAAAGTAGGGAATGACATGGCTCATAAAAGGGTAATTAATTCCCTCCTTCCCTGAGAACCAGCAAGCTTTGGGTGGCTCTTCACTTGGTTTCGAGCCCGCCGACCAAGTGATGTCCTAAACCGCACGTGGGGATGAACCCCAAAATCGGTATTTTCTCTACTTCCACAACCCCTCGAAGCTTCCGAGGACACTACACAGGGCAGGCCACAGGCTAGCTATGCAGCGCAAACCGATACCATCCTGAAAGATGTTCTCAGTTCAGCTATGTGTCAAACTAGGTCCCTGTAAGCCAATCTGAAAAGGCTAGTAAAAGATATGTCATTCCCAAAAGCATTGGACTTCCTTCTGTAGTTTTGACTTATTTGGCCATGGGTCAAAAGCCTGTACCCCCAGTGAACATCCCAAACCCCGCTGAAATAGACTAAAGTGGGTGGTGCACCTACCCCAAGATGGTACCATTTGTTTTGACCCACAGACATTTCACTGGCCCAATTGGACTACCCTCAAAAAAGCGCTTGTCCACACCCATCTACCATCTGCAAGACAATGTATCAATTCCACGCCTCTGAGACTTGAATCTGACCGATTGGGCCCCAAATCCGGATCACTGGAATCCCTCCAAACCCAGCGAAATGACTCGCGCTTCTTCCTCGTGTTTTCGCTCCCTGTCGCTCAGTTTGCATGCCCCAAATGGGCATAGAAATGTGGATGGTCGCAAAATCCGCGAAGTAGAAACCATGGCTTTGAAACCAAAAAAGAGGTTCTTGGTATTTACGTCGGGGAATCGAATCGTAAACCAGGGTTTCTTAGGTGGCGAAATGGATTTGGTTCATCGTGCAAAACCGATGTTCAGGTGCCGTGTGCTGGCTGATTATTGCCCACTGAAGAAATCGTTGGCATGGCGTTCAGAAACCTTGCCCAACCACAATCTAGGGTTTCATGGCCGCAACAGTCAAAAAGCTCCAATTGCTTGGCCACCATGTATCCCCTAACTTTCAAAAACCGCCCCGCCGGTCCGGCCCGAAACACCCAACAAGCGCCCCTTTGCGGAAGCATATCAGTGGTCGCTACGGGAGCTTCAAACAGCCCCGCACCGAAAAACGCGAGCGAGCCGCACCGAATCTGGGGGCATGCCGAAAAACCGAATCCGTAATCGACAATGGGAAGCCACGGCAACCAAGGAACCACTCCCAGCTGGCATACGGCATACGGATCAAGCATCGATGTTGGACAACCACCCTAAACGCCTCTAATTAAAAGCAACTGGCACAAACATATGCATATGCATATTGAAAAGTATGACCGTACATAAATACGTGTAGACATAAAATCATACCTACCCCCAATTTCCGGCAAAGCCCAGCTTCCCAAAACCGAAACCGAATACTCGATCCCCTCGAGCCTCGTAGGCGCCGTCCGCCGCAGGAGCTGAGCTCCTCATGCTCAAGAAACGTCGCCATAGCTTTGCTGCAACGACCCCCCTGCAAAAAGTGAATAACTTTTTGAGGGTTTAGTGGACCCCTTGATTTCCCAAAAAGTCAAAGTCTAAAGATCCAACCCAATAGCAGTCAAGCGAAGGGGAGCGAAAAGTCTCAAATGTTGGCAGTTGTTTGTGGGTAAGTGGGTTGTTCAGATTCTAGCGGGTAAAATTTGGCATTATTTGTTGGTTCTTCAGATTCTAGCAGGTAAGTGGTTGGATTTCAACCAAACCACAATAAGCAAAAATGCAAAATGCTTCCCAACAACCACCATGCTTTATCACTCTTTCTTGCCCAACCTGAGAGGCTGACCTCTTGGCTTCCTTGAACCTTAGACGTGGCCTGCTCCAGACCACCCCCAATCCTCTGAGCCAAGACCCCTTAGCTTGCTTGGGGGAAAAAATCGCCGACAGTAGGAAAAAAGCTGTTCAAGGTTTGCTGGTTGGGGCCATGAATCGCAAATCGACCAATCTGGGAAAATCCAAAGTGGTCGCAAGGTCGGCTTTGGAACAACTGAGCTTATCAAAGGGGGCCACTTTGGGCAGAAGGGCGTGCATCTTGTTAAAGGTACCCCCGTGTTTGGCTTGAAGACCGCGCCCTAAAGACAGTCAGAAAGACCCAGGCATTGTCCTCCCCATTTCCGCGGGTCTACGTTCACCACCTGCGACTTTGTCGGGGGGGTTTGCGTGGTTCAATTGTGGAAACCTGAATCCGAGATGACTCGGGCATGGAAGTGAGGACAAGAAAAAGGCCAAGGCAAGGACACCAACAGAAGCGAATGGGTAGGTGTCAAGATCGGGATTGTCTCTTCTTGGTTTCCCGTGTTTAACCCACCTCAAAAAGGGTACCCTGAAACAACCACCCTGGATCTGACCACCAAAAAGTGGCCACTAGTGCCATCTGTTTGCTAAGACGGGATGCACCCAAAAACAAAGGACACCCCAAACCAATTGACCCCAGTCTCCAGCCTGGGATTCCTAGGTCCTAGGATCCCGGCATGGGCGCCAAGCCACTCCGGAGCTCCACGTCCATGGCCTCTGAGTGAGACACCCCAAAAGAAATCCCCACGAAAACCGCCGGTCGGCCCTCCGTTTGCTGGGCGCTTTTTCTGGGCCGCCCTCAGATCCACCGCTGAAAGTTTAGCTTTTAGTGGGCTAAATAGAAACTACCACTAAACACTAAAAGGATCTAACAAGCTAAGGAACCGGACGGCTGGGAGCCACCAACCTTTGGTTTTTCCGTCGAGTTTAGAGTGGCTGGGTCGATTTTCGCGTGCGTTGGTCGATTTTGAGGAATTGTCCTTTCCTTCCATGCAAAAGAGAGTCCCAGGACAGACCTCGGATGGCACCGAACATGGTCAGGTGTGGAAGCACGCAGTCGCGCGACCAAAGGCTTCCGACAGGAAGGGTTCATTCGGACTTGACACAGCCTCGCTTTCTTTCAGCTTCCAAAGGAACTCTATGCTTCTCTTGGAAGGCGCATCAGGTTGCCCGAAAAATTTATCTCTCGCGTCGGGAACAGGAAATTTGGAACACCGACTCGAAGGAAGGCAAAGGACACCCACAAATCTAGGATTTGAAGGAGCCCCCTTTGGGGACATGCCCGGCGATGCCCATGGCAGAGGGTTCCGTTCAGCCATCTAAACCGTTTGAGGGTTTGGCTTGATCCTCAGCTTGACATGCTGGTATGTGTCAAAGCTAGGAGCTCATCTAGCTGTTTGGTTTCCATTTGGTTTGCTTGCGGGGGAAAAAAAGAGAAGACAAAATCCGAAAGGCCGGACTCAAGTTGAAAGTACCCGTGCTCCATCACCCATCCTGCTGGCTTCATGCCTGCCTGAATGGTTGCCGCGAGTCGATCGAAGTTCACATCTGGGCCTCGGCACTGAGAGGCAGAGTGGTCAAAACGGAGCCATCCAGCACAAGCGCCCAAACAACACCCCTTCAAATGCGAAAGTGCAAACCAATTGGCACGAATGTCCATCGCATTTCCTAAAAAATACACGGGATTTCGGCAACGTTGCAAAGAACTTCCCGTTTGTTCCCCCGTTTGAGCGCAAGGGGCGACCGAGTGAGAGCCCGGCCGTCCAGCACGCTGTTTAAGCGGAAAATGTGACCTCAGCGGGATTCATCTGAAACCCCACTCCACAAAAACAGATTTTGTTGACCAATGAAATGGCTTCCTTCACTTGGGGGGAGTCGGCGGGGATTATCACACTCAATCCGTAGTTTTTCTGATATGGGGTCGGCATTTGTGGACATCAACCCTTTGCCCAAGTCAATCATGGACTGCAAGAAACAGCGCCCCTTGCGCCTGCACGGGTGAATCATCATGCAACACAGCTGTTGGCAAGCCACACTTGGCACCGGGCCATCGATCGTGCGCTTCAGCGCCTGCCAAGGTCCGCCCCGCCCTTTCGCGCGCCGTTGGCCCACTACAGTGGGCCACGGGCCACATTTCCCTTGCCAGACGTGACCAGCGCGTCTCAAAACCGGCCGGCGAAAGTAGCGCTTGTTTGAAGCAAGCTGAACACCGCGCACCTCGAACTTCAACTTCGTCTGCTCTTTCTCCGCCGTCGCCTGCCACGATCAGCTGGATTATATTCGAGCAAGCAAGTGGCCGCCAGCGCTTCTCGCAGAGCGCAAACACACACACACACATGCACGCGCAAATACAAACACAAAGCCCTTGCGCGCACGAATGCAAACCAACAGAAAAGACGCAAACACAAAAAACACGAGCGCGCGGACGCACGCATGCATGCATGCATGCAAACAAACAAGCAAACAACCAAGCAAGCAACCAACCAACCAATCAACCCATCAATGAATCAATGAACCAATCAATCAACCAACCAATCAATAAACACAATCAATCAACCAATCAAGCAAGCAATCAACCATTCAAAACAACCAACCAACCAACAAACCAACCAATCAATCAATCAATCAATCATTCAATCAAGCAATCAATCAAGAAAGCAAGCAAGCAAGCAAACGATCAATCAGTGAATCAATCAACCAATCAATCAATCAATCAACCAATCGAACCAAATCAAATCAAATCAAATCAAATCAACATCATAACCACATCAACCAAATCAAATCAAATCAAAACCCAATCAAACCGAACCAAATCAAACCAGATCAAATCAGTGCCAAACCAACCAACCAGTCAACCAAACAACCAACCAACAAATCAACCAATCAACCAATCAATCAATCAATCAATCAGTCAGTCAATCAATCAATCAATCAATCAATCAATCAATCAATCAATCAATCAATCAATCAATCAATCAGTCAATCAAGCAATCAAACCGAATCAAGGTCAAAATCAAAATTAGAGTCAATACAATCAATTCAAAATCAAAACACACCCAAATCAATATTAAACCAATCAGTCATTCAATCAATCAAATCAAATCAAACCAAATCAAAATATAATCAAATCAAATCAAAACCCAATCAAACCGAACCAAATCAAACCACATCAAATCAGTGTCAAACCAACCAACCAGTCAACCAACCAACCAACCATCAATCAACCAATCAACCAACCAACCAATCAAATCAATCAACTCAATCAATCAATCAATCAATCAATCAATCAATCAATCAATCAATCAATCAATCAATCAATCAATCAATCAATCAATCAATCAATCAATCAATCAATCAATCAATCAATCAATCAATCAATCAATCAATCAATCAATCAATCAATCAATCAATCAATCAATCAATCAATCAATCAATCAATCAATCAATCAATCAATCAATCAATCAATCAATCAATCAATCAATCAATCAATCAATCAATCAATCAATCAATCAATCAATCAATCAATCAAAAAACCAACCAAAACCAACCAACCAACCAACCAACCAACCAACCAACCAACCAACCAACCAACCAACCAACCAACCAACCAACCAACCAACCAACCAAACCAACCAACCAACCAACCAACCAACCAACCAACCAACCAACCAACCAACCAACCAACCAACCAACCAACCAACCAACCAACCAACCAACCAACTCAACAACCTTCATCATACAAATCAGCCGGGTCACACAGAATCACTCAACCAACCCATCAAAACAACCAATCGAATCGATCAACCAGTCAAGCAACCAATCAAACACGCCAGCGGGGAAGCAAGACAAGCAAGCATCACGCGGGCAGGCAGGCACGCGCCTCCACTCACTTGCGCGAGCGCGCGCAAACAACGCGGCGCGCGCGCGCGCGCACAGGCGCGCGCCCGCGCCCAGGCGCTCACGCGCCCTCGTGCCCACGAGAGCGGCATCCGGCGGCGCCGTTGGCAAGCGGCCGTGCTGCGCTGAAGCCTCTCGCGTCACGAACGCTGGCAGCTCGTGAAGTACGGGGCTCCTAACAGACTTTGCGCGTAATGTCATTAACCTCACCAATGTCCTTCTTTACGTGTTTCACCTCGTCATGGTGCGGCGACCGCTTCAGCTCGTCACATGATGCTGGTGATGCAAAAAATAAAAATAAATGTTAAGCCTGGTGATGCTGGGGATGCGCTCTACCCCTTTTTCCAGGTGAAGTACTCACGCCATTCCCCGGCCTCAAGGTTTTAGGGCCCCCATTTCACAAACTCAAAGGCCCCGACAGCCAAGCACTTTAGCACAGTCTTGACATGTTGAAGTCACCGGGTGCTGCTCGATTGAACACATGTCCCCAACAGACACAGGAATTTGGCGAGTTCCCCACTGCATTGGATCTGGGGAGTTTGCCGCATGCGCTTCGGCAGGCATAGCTGGTATCTCCTGGTACATATGCGACATGCTGCCTTGAGACTTTAGGTGCCCCTGTTGTATTCAGGCCTTCGTCTGCACAACTTGTTACTCTTCACTCACAAAAGATTATGGATCTGTCAAGGACCATCATCATCATGGCCCGGGTCGGTGTTTTCGGAGGGGTACCCTTGAAGTAAAGTAATGCACATGTTCAGAGGACCCCCGAAGTACCAGCACCAGTTTTAGTTCAGGATCTGGCGACCGAAATGTCCGTCAGGGCCGGTGTTTCTGCCACTGGTGGACGCTAGGGACACCTCCTTAACCAGGTAGCTTCAGGCAGATGGCACAAGAATGTTAACCCCGGATTAAGAAACCCCTGGTTGATTTTGATGGGGTGGGGATTCAGGCCACTTTTGGAGGGAACACCCCCCTAATAATGGGAAGAGTTTATTAATCCTGGTCAACATTACCTCCTTTGCCGAATCAGCCGGCAGTACGTTGCCTCTTTCGAATCATTCCCATTGGCCACAGGAAAAAGTGTGTGTATCCTGGATGGTTGATGACGACAACAGCTTCGCCTGTTTGCTGTTGTTTAGCCACGCATGTTCGATCAAAGGAGTCGTAATCAAAACCTGGTACTAACAAGGAGGCACCCATGCGTGGTTGGTGCGATCCCTTGCTAACCTTCACTTTCCTGGGTGTTGCTTGCTCCAGGAATCCCTTTTGCTGGGTGGCTTTCAAGGGAATCACCGGAAGCCCCCACCGTGGAACCGAGACTCTCTCAAAACCCGAAGAAGAAAAAAAAAAAAAAACGCCACAAAAAACGTGCCCCAGCCACTTCCGATCGAGTGAAGTGGCCCAAAAAGGTCACCAGACTCGTGGTTTATCACATCGTCCCAAAAAGTCCAAAGTGTTGGAACTCCAGGAGTGAGCCAAGCAGAAAAAATGCTTCAACAATAATGAAAAAGGGACATATAGAAAGCCCTGCCAAATGTACGCCCCTTGGGGGCCACTGCCTAAAGCAAACCTGCGGTTTGGGCGCATGGATCGGGAGGACTGCTGCGTGCTAGGTTCCCTGGATTCGGCTGGGGCAATACTTCTTGTGACCCGTTGGAAACCAAAAGGACATCCATCTGGGACAACAATTTTGGTTTAGGTTTGCTGTGATTTTGGGATACTGGTTGCTCGCCGGTTGAAAGGGAGGAAAGCGTGCTTTCGAGTGGAAAAGTGCGGAAATTGACTCCATGCCTCGAACGCGCGGAAGAAAACCTAAACCGTTTGGGTTCCACACGCACTCCAAACTGGCCAGGCGCTTGTGCGAAGGTCAAAACTAGGTGCGTCTTTTTGTTCAGCAGCCTTTTGTTTGTTGGGCTTGAAGGGAAAGCAAAGGAAACCACTTGGATCGCCAGTGGCTGCTTCTCTCCATCCGCTTTACCCCAAAAACCAGCAACAGTGACTGAAAAAGCGGCAACTTGGCTATCTAGGCATACCAAAACCCCCTTCGGGTTGGCCCACTCCAGGAATCCCCCGGCTGCACGGCTGACGACCAAAACCAAAACCTCTCAGGTCACCACTCCAAAACCTCGGTGTGTCCGACCCAACAGCATCTGTTTTCTGAGGGCATGACCCAAGACACCAGCCCTCAAGTAGTTCATGGGAATCTCGCATGGCTCATGCCACAAATCGTTTTATTGGGGAGCCGGAAAACCTGTAGGCATCGATTCCAATCGACGCTCCTCTCAAATCAACCAAACGGAGACATCGCCCAAAGTGGACTGTTCCAAAGCTACCGATTGAAACCCTTGGAGAAATTGGATCTTGAAACCGCCACTCGAAGTAAAAACTGTCCGCCATCCCCACTCGATGAGGCCAAGCGTCGCAACCCCACGACCCACCCACCTACCCACCCCCTCTGCTGGCTGGTCGGCGAATCGCCTGGGCGATTTGCTGTCTCAGCGCCCCCTGCGGCGATTCAACGACTGGGCCGGGACAGCCGCCCACTGCGTGTATGACAAGTTAGACATTAATTTGGGTGAACAATGGCTGACACACGAAAACATGCGGCGATCAGATTGACCTTGTGGAAGGGGCTTCTCACCTCAAGTTGTCCTTTTCCTCAAGCCGATTGTAATGGAAAGCCTTCTAAATGGCCAAGTCCCATCACAGAAGGAACTGACCCCTTGCGGCGGAACCGAAACCTGACGTTGAGTGGCTTGAGGTCGGATTCCAACTAAAACTTGAAACCAAAACCGATGCAGCCTCTCTGTGACTGGTGCCCCGTTGGCCCTTCTGCTTTGACCACTCTATTTCTGCACGTTCCAAAACCTTGTGGAGCCTTTGGTTCTAAGCGTACTCTTGCACAATCTCGAACATCCATCAGTCCAAACAGCGGTCACCAAAAGTCAAATTTTATGTTCGATGCAAGTGTCGTCTGCGGTTGCTTTTGGTTTATGTGTTATGTTTTAACAAGACAAGTGGTCTTAAATTCATGACATGTATGGTCCAATCAAGTCCCCACCAGTCAACCAACACACACAAAACAAATAAATCAGCAAATCCAGGAATCCTTTTCCACACGCCTTCACTTCTCCACCGATACTGTTCTCCCCACAGTTCTCTGCCTTTGTCTGAGAGTACTTACCGATCAGCAAAGCCGAAGCGCGTGGTCTCATGAAAGCTGCATGTCAGCCCAATCTTTGTTCTTCTTTTAAAAGAACCTGTTGTGCAATCTTGGTTGGGCTGATTAGGCCTGATCCTTATATGATCCTAGGTCCTTATGACACCCGAAATGCAAAGTGGCTCATGGCCAGAATTCGACGATTGAATCAGTGGCTGTTTTGGCGAGGGAGATGTTGGCACAGAACAATGAATTGGGACAGAATCTGAAAAGAATAGCTCACAAGAAGGAACATCATCTACAAACCAAGGTTCTTTCAGGTTCCATGTCGGTGTTTCCCACACATACCCTTGGCCTTGAGGCTTTCTGGGCCAGAGAAAACTGGCCCGGGGTGGGAAAAAAGAAGATCGGATCGCCATGCAGAAAGCGCACAAGAAAAAGCACGCTGCTCTGAAATCTGCCCAGAAGGCTGATAGACGCACAAGCCATGAGCAAAATAACCCATGTGGCCATGGGTCAAAACCCAAATCGTACCCCCAGTGAACATCCCAACCCCCACTAAAATTTCTAAACTGGGTGATGTACCTACCAACCAAAATGGGATCCCAAAACGGTTTTGACAACCACAGCAATGTGTTCTCTCGGGCTCCTTACCCCATGTTGAGAAAATGGGGAGATACGTTTTCTCATAGACTCGCGGACTCGCGGACTCTCACCGAAAACTGGGTTGCGCAACCCGGGTCCCAAGTGTCACCTTGCCCCTAATTGGTGGTTTGGAGCCCGGTGGTTTGGCGGTTAAGGGGCGGATGGATTCCCATTTACCCTCTACAAACACCAAGGGTTCTCAAATCCAAAAAGCCTTGCCACCAATCCGAACCACCAATTAGGGGACCTGAAAGCATCCGCGCTTACGGACTGGGTAGCCCCCGGATTGGAAGGTTTACAACAACTTTTCGGCCGCATATGTCCCAAAGCCCCTCTCGTCCCGGCCTGCTCCATCAGGGCAAATGCCCTTCGAACTCGACACAACGGTTGTTTTTTTGCTTTTTGAGTTCGGCGTTCGGCATTCTGACAGGCTGTGGGGCTTAAGGTGCGAATTGGTCCTTCCCTCTAGCACTTGGGGGGGTTGACTCTGACCGTTGCCGGCAAAGCTGGAATTCGTTTCCGAAAAGTGAACCCAGGCCTCAGATGTTCTTGCCAACACCGGTGGGGTCCGCAGGCTCACGTCTTTCGCCTTTTCCAGCCAGCCTGCTGTTTGGGAGCCAAAATGTTCGTGCGCCGGACAAGCCCATGCTACACAACTGCGCAATGCCCAGATGGCAGCCCTATGTTTGCTTGGGTCCCTGACTGGGGTCCTGACGAAATGTGAAGTTGACACATTGTACAGGAGGGGTCCCTATGTTTTTCTGAGGGGTCCCTGACTGGGGTCCTCCTGTTCTTGAGGGGTCCCTGAGTGACTGGGGTCCTGATTAAAAATTGCACAGGAAGCTTTAGGGAAGACCATACGAAACCGCAGCACCGATACAAAACCCCCGATCCCATGCCCCGTGTTCCGGCGTCCAAAGCGAAGGGAGCCCCCAAGCTGGAAGTCTACGAAGTGGTCCAAACTAAGATGGTCCAAACTGCAGAAGGGCCGGCCTCAAGTGGTCCAAACCGAAGAACAAAACCAAAAAAAGAAAAAGCTGTCTGCTCGTCACCCACCACATGATACAACCCTGCCGATTCCCGGGGGGATCGGAACGACTGCCGACCCCTCGATTTTAGGCATTGGTGTTTCTCACCGAGTCCTCCAATTGGGTGTCGTTTTGGTTCTCCTTTCCGGACCATCCCTTTCTCCGAAGCAATAAAAGGTCCTTTTGCCTTTTCCGTTTTCCAAACCATCCGAAAGTGTTTGCCTTTTTGAGGTTACCTTGGACTCTCTTGCGGACATGCACTCAAGATATTGTGGCAAAGCGCCTTTCAACCGATGGCTCCCTCAGGGCAAGAAAGCTTCCCTTTGTCGCTAGCCGTCACTTGTAAGACCATCACTGGGATAGCGAGTTGGCAAAAAACTTGGGCCACGCAGAAATTGGTCCCAACGAGGATGAGCTATGATTCACATCCTTAATACCCTGAACGGCAACGGCGTAACTCCTCTTTTAAGACGAATCCCCCGAGAACAAGCCCCCTCCACCCTCCCCCGAATGGTGGCTTTCCATTTTTG